GCGGGTTCCTCGGACCCGGGCTCTTCCCAGTCGAGAGCGGGTGACTCAGCGGGGCAGGAGCTGGTTCCTCGGACTCGGGCTCTTCCCAATCGAGAGCTGGTGGCTCATCGGGGCAGGAGCGGGTTCCTCGGACCCGGGCTCTTCCCAGTCGAGAGCTGGTGGTCCAGCGGAGCAGGAGCAGTTTCCTCGGACCCGGGCTCCTCCCAATCGAGAGCTGGTGGCTCATCGGGGCAGGAGCTGGTTCCTCGGAGGGCCCCATTTGGCGGCGGTGACTCACCGGCGGCCACGAGTGGCTGCTCTTCACGGAACGGAAGTCATCGGCGAATGCCGCGCCACTCAGCGCCTGCGGTGATTCACGGCCGGGCGACCCCGCTCGCGCCGGCGGCCCGGCGCTGGCCGCGGTACCGGCTCCCGGACAGACAGCCGGCACCTGGGAACCCGACGCCCCGCTGAGATAGCAACAACTCGTCAATCGGCGGCCTGTGAAGCGGCGGCGAGCGCGACGGCCGACCTGCTTCGTGGAGGCGGGATATCTTGGAACTCGACTTCCCTCGACTTTGATGGATCGGAGTAGGATGTTCTGTGGAAGCAGTGATGATGTAAAACGACTGGTGCGATGTGGGGAAAGATAACTCGTCGCCCAGAGGCGAACGAAGGTCCCGAAAGCCCGGTGCTCAAATACTCCTAATTCACGAGTGAAAATTTGACGACCCATTCAGAACATTCCATACATTTGACATCATCTGAGCTATTTCCCCTCATAGATTTCTGGCCTATTTCAGTCAACAGTCAGTCAGTATTTTGAAAGAGATACGCAATTCACATACACGGGCTACCGCCGACTCTAGCCATTTGTCAAATCTTCCTTTTTCTTAGCATGAGCGAGGCGTGAGCTGCAAGGGTATCGAATAAGAGCTGGAAGTCTCCAATTTTATGTGAATTATTAAAATCTTCACGAATGAATCAAACGTAACAAGTGTCTCAAACCGGCTGACAGATCTGCAATATTTTATGAATTGTGGAACCAGCTTCTAGCGTTATGAAGTCATACAAATATACTGAATGAGTTGAATGACTCGAACTGACTGTCAGCTTAGAGGAAGTGTTCCACATTTATATGGGGTTTTGAACTGAAATAGCCGTCTTGGAGACCTTTTAATGCTCTTCACAATCCTGCCCATCTCAAGACCTAAGCTCTAGTTTCCGAGCTACACGCCCGCGAAAATGGGAAAGGTATATCGAGGAAAGTCTTTCAGTCACAGTGGCATTCATGACGTCATAATAACGTCGATCAAATCCTGCCATTCTATAAGCCATGCGGTGATCAATGCCAAAAGATAAGGTTATTGAGGCGTTCATATCTGGCGTCCGTGAGCGTCATTTCAAGATACAACGGCCGTCAAATGACTATCAATCAATGTTGTGCAAGGTACGATGACGCAATGAAACCACGATGGATTAAGGAGCATATTTACTAAACAGAAAGTTTCACTGTCCAGAGCAGTCTTCCCACTTAAGAAGCATACCAACAATTTTAAGTGAGCTTGTTTCATCGTATCTGATGCTTGCCTCAATATCTTCAAATGTGAAACATTCCATTAAACACAGTTTTGCGAATGTTTCGAGTGCATCGAACCTGTCGAACCGGTTGTCAAACTAGATCTGTCTGTGAGTCGGTCCCGGGTACATTGGGGGGGGGGGGGGGAAGGGGGGCTGCGTGGCATCAGTCACGCGAAGGAACTAAGCCTCTCGTCGCCGCCCGCCGGCGCGGTCAGGTGCCGCGCATTGTGGTAGGCTGCACCCCACTGACGCAGGAGCTAGGTGGGCTTCTCTTCTGGCAGCAGATAGACTGGCGATAACATTTTAGCGATACAGCTTTGTTTCAACGTTGAACATCTTGGCCAAGACTTTGACGACGCAGTCACGATCGAAGGCGTGTTGTGGAAGATTGTTTAATCTCACAAGCCTCGCAGCCTTCCACAACAATCGGGGTCTCTTGCAATCCATGAATTTAAGTCGCTTTCATACATTAAGAGAGGTAGCGTTTCGCTGTGTCAAGTAACGCCACCCTTTAACACGGTTGTAAGCTGTTTACCTCGGCCGACGCCATAGAATGGTCTTCTGAACTGGAGTTGCTGAGTTTGTTGCATTATTTGGGACTCTGCTCTGACCAGAAATAGATGCTTCAGTTATTGTTTTAAACAGATGAAATTTACCTTCAGCTATTATGTATACAAGTACAACCTTTACCCATTATTCTTGTTTAGAAGCAGTGGTGTTGTTTTCAATTCAGTTGAAGGGGCTCCAGCTCCTATCCTCAGTTTCAGTTCCAGCCCACCCAAATTTGAGAAGAAAGTGAGTCAAATCCCATTCCCCGAAGGAGCCCGTTTGTTGGTATGTCTTGAAGTATGTATATGTATGTTTTTTGTGTATGTAGTTGCTGATTAGGTACAGTGCTCAGAATAAAAAAAATTCACTACTCGTTCCATGACGGATCGCTGTGCGAAGTCTGAATGTTGTCCTTAAATCATTTTGTAAAGTAGCACAGGGATAACCATGATTCAAGTGGCTTCAGTCTTATGTTTTCATTTAAAACAATTTAATGAACTGG